CTCAGAGCCAGAAGCCCAGGACACGTCAACTTCCCGCGACCGTGCGCCAGCCCCGCCCCGCCCCGCCTCGTAACCACGCCCCTCGCTCCTTTTAAAGGGCCATCTCCTTCTTCCGCTGCCCGCGCGGTGGCGCCTGGTGAGATTGCGGGGGGAGCTAGGGACGCGCGGTGCGGGGACCTGCGGGAGTCGCGGGGATTTTGAGCCCGCCAAAGTTGATCTCCCAAGGAGCGTCCGAGACTGGCCTAAAGCTATGTCTGCAGTCTGCAATTTGTTGTTTGATTTTGGGGAAGACATTTCCCCGCCCCCCCACCTCAGTTTCTCCTCCCCACCATTTATTTATTTATTTACTTATTCATTCATTCATTCATTTATTTAAAATTTTTGTTATTGATTTCAGAGAGGAAAGGAGAGGCAGAGCTAGTAACATCAATGATGAGAGAGAATCATTCATCGATCGGCTGCCTCCTTCATGCCCCACACTGGGGATCCAGCCCGTAACCCCGGGCATATGCCCTGACCTCCTGGTTCATAGGTCCATGCTCTATCACTGAGCCACGCGGGCTGGGCCCCACCATTTATTATTGAGTGCTCACTGTGCCAGGCCATTTAAGGCATTATCTCATTTAATCCCCACTATCTTCTCATAGCATAGGAAGGCAAAGCTTACTTCCCTTCACTGAGTACATGTAAGCTGCTGTGGAGGCAAGAATACTGGGTTTGGAGTTAGAAGATTTAGCTTCAAATCCCAGCCCTGCCACTTCCTAGCTTGGGCAAGTGACTGAAACTCGGAATCTTTCCTCATAGGTATAAGGGGGAGAATATTCCTATTTTAAGATTATTGTGAGGGATGGATTATCAAGATGGCGGCATAGGTAAACATCGGAGACTGCTGCCGCAAACAACCACTTCAAAAATACAACTAAAAGACGGAACGGACATCACCCAGAACCACAGGAAGGCTGGCTGAGGAGAGACTCTTCAACTAGAAGGAAAAATAACAGCACACCGAGGCTCAGAGGAGGCGCAGTGTGGAAAATACTCAGGTGCGGAGGTGCGCGCGCAAAGCGGGCTGGTGGCTGAGAGCGCGGTTGTCGTTTTCGGTCAGGGGGGAGTCTCAGACTCTGAGCTCCAGATACGGGCGAATCGCTGGGGACTCGGACCCAAACGGGAGAAGCGGGAGTGTCTGGCATCAGTTGGAAGGCAGCTTTCCCTCCGAGGTTTGCAGCGGTTCCGGGGGTTCTGAGAAGCAGAGCCTCTGGGAACAGGACTGAGGGCACCATAACGGCTCCCTCCGCCCGCCCTGTTGAGCCCGCCCCGCCCAAGCCCTGCGCAGAGCCATTTGCCGGATCGCCTCAGGCAAAGGCTAGATTAGCACCTCCCCAGAGGACAGAAGTTTTCCGCGGCAGACACAGCTGATTCACACAGCCAGTCGGCCTGGTGGTCAAATCCCTCTAGTATTAACTACAACAATCAAGGCTCAACTAGAACAAGACTGCGCACAAAGACCACTAGAGGGTGCACCAAGAAAGCATAAAAAATGCGGAGACAAAAAAACATGACAGAAATGGAGGATATAGAGCTAAAAAACGCAATTTTGAGGGCTTGCAATAAACTTTTGGAGAGCTTCACGAAAACTAATGAGACCCTCGATGCTATGATAAAGAAACTAGAAATTAAGCATACACGCTCTGAAATAAAGAATATTACACCCAATAGCAGACCAGAGGAGCGCAAGAATCAAGCCAAAGATTTGAAATGCGAAGAAGCAAAAAACACCCAACCGGAAAAGCAAAATGAAAAAAGAATCCGAAAATACGAAGATAGTGTAAGGAGCCTCTGGGACAGCTTCAAGCGTACCAACATCAGAATAATAGGGGTGCCAGAAGATGAGAGACAGCAAGATATTGAAAACCTATTTGAAGAAATAATGGCAGAAAACTTCCCCCACCTGGTGAAAGAAATGGACTTACAGGTCCAAGAAGCGCAGAGAACCCCAAACAAAAGGAATCCAAAGAGGACCACACCAAGACACATCATAATTAAAATGCCAAGAGCAAAAGACAAAGAGAGAATCTTAAAAGCAGCAAGAGAAAGAAACTCAGTTACCTACAAGGGAATACCCATACGACTGTCAGCTGATTTCTCAACAGAAACTTTGCAGGCCAGAAGGGAATGGCAAGAAATATTCAAAGTGCTGAATACCAAGAACCTACAACCAAGAATACTTTATCCAGCAAAGCTATCATTCAGAATTGAAGGTCAGATAAAGAGCTTCACAGATAAGGAAAAGCTAAAGGAGTTCATCACCACTAAACCAGTATTATACGAAATGCTGAAAGGTATCCTTTAAGAAGAGGAAGAAGAAAAAGGTAAAGATACAAATTGTGAACAACAAACATGCATCTATCAACAAGTGAATCTAAGAATCAAGTGATGATGAAGATTTATTCATCATAGTACACCATCCTTTTTGTACCATTTGTGAATAAATGAACTTTGGCACTAATGAAAAAAAAAAAAGATTATTGTGAGTCTGGCCATTAAGATTTAATTAAAAAAAAAAATAAAAAAAAATAAAAATAAAAAAAAAATAAATGAAGATTTATTTGTCATAGTACACCATCCTTTTTGTACCATTTGTGAATAAATGAACTTTGGCACTAATGAAAAAAAAAAAAAAAGATTATTGTGAGGGCTCTGGCCATTGTGGCTCAGTTGGTTAGGCATCCTCCTGTGCACCAAAAGGTTTCTGGTTCGATTCCCTATCAGGGCACATGTCTGGGTTGCAGGGCTTGATCCTGGCAATGCAGGAGGCAGCTGATCAATGTTTCGCTCTCACATAGATGTTTCTCTCTCTCTCTCCCTCTCACTCTCTCTTTAAAAATCAATAAAAGTATTTTAAAAAAGATTGTTGTGAGGATTGGATGAAACAGTAGAATAATGTTTTATGGACAGGAGAGCACCTTGTAAAATGCTAAGTGTGTTCAGGTATAAGGGAGGGATCACAAGGAGGAGGGCCCCCTCTAAAAATGCTCAGAGTAGCCCTGACCGGTTTGGCTCAGTGGATAGAGCGTCGGCCTGGGGACTGAAGGGTCCTGGGTTCGATTCCAGTCAAGGGCAGGTCCCTTGGTTGGGGCACATCCCCAGTAGGGGATGTGCAGGAGGCAGCTGATCAATGTTTCTCTCTCATTGATGTTTCTAACTCTCTATCCCTCTCCCTTCCTCTCTGTAAAAAATCAATAAAAATATATTTAAAAAATAAATAAAAATGCTCAGTGTAGAAAGGAATTAAGTGGGACAATCAAAGTTCTTTGTAAAAAGATGTAGCCAATAAAGACACTAGATCATATTTTTCACATTTCTGGTGGAGTGGAGACACGAGCATACCTAAAACCCAGTTGACTGTTAAGAACATGAGAGAGGGCACAGGTGGAGTCAAGGAGCCATGTCTGGGATGGGGGCAGGGGCAGGGTGGGGTATCTTGGAGAAGTTGCTGATGAAGCCAGTCCTGTGACTCCAAATCTTCAATATGCCTAAAAACCACCTGAGGTTTCATCTTAGACCTACTGAATTAGAATCTTGGGGAGGGGTCCAGGAACGTACATTTCTTACAAGCTCTTAAGAATATTCGGATGCAGGTGGCCCAGGAAACAGACTTCGAGAAACACCGAGGCAGGTCTGTGAAGGATAAGGAAGAGTTCATTCCTCTGGGTTTTATTGACCCAAAGCTTTTTAACTCAGAGTCTTTCCTCTGAGGAAGAGAAGAAAGCTAAGTGCTGTGATGAAGGGTGCAGGGGCTGGATTCTGGCAAATCTGGACTTGAGTCCTGGCTCGGCCACTTTCTAAAACCACTTCAAAGTGATTTTGGACAAGTCACTTGACCTCTCTGTGTCTCCATTTCCTTATCCTTGAAATGAAGGAAATAATAGTGTCTGTTTCAAGGCTGTTGTGAGGATCAAGTGAGATATTATTCACTTCACTTGAAGCACTTAGTACAAGAATGCTTGGCACATGAAAGCATTGGATGAATGTTATTGGGGGTTATTGTGAAGACTAAATGAGAAATGTCACATGTAAAACACACAGACTAGAGTCTGGCCCATAGGTCGTGCTCACAAAGTATTTGTACTTGCTTTTATTATAGAGAACGTTGGTGTCCCATCATGGGGGAAACACTTGGTCCCTCACAGCGTTCTCTCTCTCTCTCTCTCTCTCTCTCTCTCTCTCTCTCTCTCTCTCTCTCACACACACACACACACACACACACACACAATACCCAGTCTTGCTTATCTTCTGTTTTCACAGTGACACACAGGTCGATGTCTGTTGTAAGACTCCCTAGGTGACTTTGAGCTGTTGACATTATCTTCTCTACCAAATTAGTTCCTCTGCATTATGGACAGCCCAGCCAAGAAGCCTGGAAAATCACCCAGCAGGTGTCTCTCCTTGGAGCTGGACTCAGGCCCCATCCATCCTGATAGTCATTACTTTTGGTTCAGGCCATCGGCTCTTGTTTGAAAGGTGTCAGCAGCCTTCTTTCTAACTGAGATCCCCTCTCTTCTTTCTGCTTCCCCAATTCCTTTGCAGTGGTTCTCAACCTTCTGGCCCTTTAAATACAGTTCCTCATGTTGTGACCCAACCATAAAATTATGTTCGTTGCTACTTCCTAACTGTAATGTTGCTATGAATCGTAATGTAAATATCTGATATGCAGGATGGTCTTAGGCGACCCCTGTGAAAGGGTCGTTCGACCGCCAAAGGGGTCGTGACCCACTGGTTGAGAACCACTGCTTTAGGGGGAACCAGAAGCTACAGTTCTTTGTAAAACAACATGAACTATTGATATATTAAACTTTAAATTGTAAACAAAGCTATGATTCTATGCTAATTCTAGCATTCTCTCACACTACTGACACCTACTAAAGTCTTCAGAAAAATGTATGTGGGAAAACACCTTAAAACAAAGAAAAAATCATATTCATTGTAAGTAATCTACCTTCCTGCAAATTAGAAAAATATGACTGGTTTTAATTCAGTGGTACCCCCCCCCCCAACTTGGCTTGAGGAACACCTGGGTTCCTCAAGGGGCAAGTTTGAAAACCATTGCTCTAGGAGTTCAAGTCCAATTGTTCCGGCCTCACATTCAAGACCTTTGCACTCTGTCTCCCAGACTGTCTTATCTCCTGCTATTGGACCATGCACAGCCCATGATCCACCCGTACCTGATAGAACTTCCCAGAACTTCCATGTCTCGTGCCTTCATTCAGCCTGCTCCTCCTGCTTGATATGCTTTTCCCTTGCCTACCTGGGAAACTCCAGGTTCACATATAATTTCTCTGATGTTATTTTCCAAAACCCTAGGTTGAGTCAACTCCTGCTGCCTTTGTGTTTTCTCTGGACAGGTGTTGCCGCCTTTAGTCTCTTATTTATGTATGTGCCCATTTCCCCCTCCAGGCAAGAGTGGAACTCTGTTTTGTGTATCTCCCTGATGCCAGTGCCCAATATGGGGCCTGGCACGGGGCAGGTGTCATAAATATTCCATGAGTTGAAAGTAATTGAATTTCCTCATGGCCTGGCCCTGACTGTGGTGCCGTCTCCTTTTCCTTAGATTTGGGTCACTCCAGGGCAGGACTTTTCTTGTTCTTCCCTCTTCTTTCTAGGATTATAGAAGTTTGTGGTCTTTTTCAAGTGAAGCAGAATGTTCTCTTTTCATTTGTCCACCTGTTGCTTATGTTCTTTCTCCTTCCGTCACAGTCTCTGTCCTGTAGGCTTCCCCTGCACGGAGAGTGGAGGGGTGTGGCATCAGTCAGGTCTAGGTTTGAATCCCGGGCCCACTATTGACTAGCCACGTGACCTTTGGCGAGTACCTGATGCTCTCTGAGTAGTACTTTTCTGGGTAGTACTTTCTGTCTCTTCTCTGCTCCAGTTTCTCTCTCTCTCTCCCCATTTCTTCCCCATCTCCCTTTTCTTGCTTCTATCTCACTCCCTGTGACTCTCTATCTGGTTAATTCTCTGTCTCTGGTCCTTGCCTATTGTCTTTTTGGCCACCTCCTGGCTCACAAGGGAAGAGACCAAGAGCCCAGGAGTCCTCAGTCCTGCCTCCTGCAGGCCACAGAAACCTCAATTGTGCCAACATCAGTGGGGAGCCAGCAGGGAGCAGAGGCAGTGCACAGGAAGGCCTGGATACACCTTGAACCGCTAGGCTCTGTTCAATGTCACTGCCCACTGGTTAGACCCATCTGCCCAGGCCCAGGGGTCTCTGCTTCCTCAGTCTGCTCTCCATTTGGCTGATCAGGGGACTTATTATTATTATTATTATTATTATTATTATTTTATTATTATTGATTTCAGAGAGGAAGGGAGAGGGAGAGATAGAAACATCAATGATGAGAATCATTGATCAGCTGCCTCCTGCATGCTCCCTACTGGGGATCAAGCCCACAACATGGGTATGTGCCCTTGACTGGAATCGAACCTGAGACCCTTCAGTGCACTCTATCCACTGAGCCAAACTGGCTAGGGCTATTATTATTTTTTTTAAAGAGTCATAAGAACATTTTGCTCTTCTGCTTAATGCTTCAATGGCTTCTCACTGCTCTTAGGGTTTAGCCCATAGTTTTTTGCATGACCTGCAGGGCCTGCCAGCCTCTACAGTTGCCCCTGGCCCCCTTTTCTCCCCACTCATTTCAGCCCCCTTGGCCTCTCTGCTGCCCAAACCCACCAGCTTCTGCCTTTGCACAGGCTGTTTTCTCCGTCAGCAGTGTTCCTCACCAATGATTGCGTAAGGCTAGCTCCTTCTCATACTTCAGGTGTCAGCTCAAATGTCACCACATCACTTGCTCGGGGAATCCCTCCGATTATCTTAAGTAAAGTAGATCCCTCCACCCCATCCAATTATGTATCACAACACTTCATTCATTTCTTTTAGAGCACACATCTCAGATTGTCATTAGATATTGATTTCCATGTTTGCTATTGGTCTCTCCCTCTAAAATGTAAGCTTCGCGAGGGCAAGGACAATGTCTACATTAATTATTGAATTTAATATTTATTGAGCACTAACTACATATCAGATACCAGGCACTGGGGTACGTGGCAGAGTCCTCGCCCTTAGGGAGCTGATGTTCTAGGGGTGGAGACAAATAATGAATACGCCATAGAGTAGGTGCTCTGTTTAAAACTGCAATAACCTGCTTCCCTCTCACTCTCAGACTCGCTCCCATTTCTCTGGTATATCACTGTCTCATATATCAGGACATTTGCTGGTTTTGGCTGTTTATTTTTATTGTGTTTTTTTTTCATTGGAATATAAGCTCCATGAGGGTAGGGATTTTTGTCTGTTTTATATCTCCACTTGGACTCATAGCAATTGTTGAATAAATGAATCAGTATCCAGTATTTGTTGATTTGTTCCAGATGGAAGGCAGGTCTCAGCCCCAATTCAATTCAGGCCAGATGACCTTGATTCAAATGTTGGTGCTGCTGAATACTAATGCATAACCTTTGAAAAGTCGGGTCTCTCTGTATCTCAATGTCCTCAACTGTGTAGTTGGAATAATAGGGGTGAAGACTAAGTTAGTCCACTGGGGTTAAGCACATAGAAGGTGTCTGGTCTTACAAAGTCATGAACAACTAGTTTGTGGTCATTGTACAAGGGCTTCTATGGGCCTATACTGTGTAGAAGCCCAAATAATACTTAACCTGTGTAGCCAGTGTGTAGGTTAGAAACTGTGAGAGTTAGTGAGGGAGGTGGGCTTCGCAGAATGAAAAAGTAGTTTCTGAAAGCCAGGATTGCAAGGAGAACTAGATGAATCCACTATTATTATGGCTGAAGACTTCAGCATCCCTCTGTCAGAAATGAACATTTTCAGCAGGCAGAAAATCAGTAAGGACATAGTTGAACTCCACATCATCAGTCAACTGGATATAGAGGACATTTATAGACTGCTCCACCCAACAACAGCAAAACACCTGTCCTTCTCAAGCTCATCTGGAATATTCACCAAGAGAGACCACATTCTGGGCCATAAAACACACATCAGCAAATTCAGAAAAATAGAACTCATACAATGACTGCTCTCAGACCACAATGGAATGAAACTAGAATCAATAACAGAAAAAGCTGTAAAATCCTCAAATACTTGGAGATTAAATAATACACTTCTAAACAGCACATGGAGAAGAAATCTCAAGAGAAATGTAAAACTATGTTGAAATAGCCCGGCCAGAGTGGCTAAAATGGTTGAGTGTCCTCCTGTGCTCAATTCCCGGTCAAACAATCAATGTTTCTCTCTCCCTCCCTCTCTCTCTCTAAGCATGTGCTCAGGCGAGGATTCAAAATTCAAAACCCCACTACTTGGAACTAAAAGAAAACGAAATAAAAATGAAAACACAAGTTATCAAAATTTGTGAGATTCAGTGAAAGCAGTGCTTAGAGGGAAATTTATAGCACCTAACGTATATATGAGAAAAGAAGAAAGACCTAAAATCAACTATCTAAACTTCTGCCTTAGGAAACTAGAAAAAAAGAGCAAATTAAATTCAATCAGGAAGTAGAAGAAAAATAATAAAAACGAGAGCAGAAATCAGTGAAAGGGAAAGCAGGAAATCAATAGAGAAAAACCAACCAAACCGAAAGCTGGTTCTTGGAAAAGGTGAATAACTCAACAAGCCTCTAGCCAGGCTAACTAAGAAAAGGAGGACGCAAATTACTAAGATCGGAAATGAAAGGGGGACAAAACTACAGAGCCCGTGGACATTAAGAGGATAATGAATACTATGACCAACTCTAAAAGTTAGCATTCCAAAGACCCAACCACTCACTCACTCAAGTAAGGTGATGAGCTTCCTGTCCTTGAAGGTATATACCAATGCGCATTTGGAGGGGCCTAGACAGAGGGGATGAAAGCAACAGACATCCGACAGGACCCAGGGTGTCTTTGGGTCTCTGTCCCTGAGAGCGCGGTATGAGAGGTAGGCGTGGGCAATGAGCGCGCTTGCTTGGGAATGTCGGTGCCAGCTCAGTGCAGCGCGGGTGGTGCCTAGGCCCAGCCTCCGACCTCCAGGCGCGGAGTGCAGGAGTGGGGGAGGGGCGCGCCGGGGCAGTTGGAGACCCGATCCGGCGGCAACACGGGAGGCTACCAGCAGGGGGCGCCCGGAG